GATTTTGGGTGGGTATGCCTTAAAGGCAAAGTTTGGAGGGCCGCGATTAATCGCCATATTAACCGTCCGATATTGGACGCCATCTCGATTAGGCAATCATGGGTAATATTATCGGGATCAATTGATCGTGAAGTTCAATGGGAGAAAGCGATTCATTTGGAATGCTAGCCTTGGGGTGTGTTTCAGTTTTGAGGTCAAAGTTTGGATGATGCTTGCACGTAGCATTCCGTTTGGATTGCAGGCTAACTGATGGTTTGGCACACGAGCCGCAATGCCATGCTCATCATATTCATATAATGTGAGAAATCGTTGGAGAGTCCGTGGAAACCGGAACGCAGGCTCTCCTCGACACATCCCGTAGTCGAAGATTGAGATCGAGCGCGGTGATCTGATGGATCAAGAAGGAGGTAGGAAGGAGCGGGCGGTGGTTTGAACGGAGCGCCGCGAAGGTCGACCCAGATCGCAACAAAGAACTGCCGCCCGTATCAGGGAAGTTTGGAGCAGACGAGATGAAAGAATTCGTGATCTCATGAAACGAGGCGGCTTATGCGAGTATTGCATGCCCAAGCAAGCAGTTCGCATCCAGGTCAGGTTGATTATATCCATCATATGTATCGGTTGATCAAGAAGGAGGAACGTAGCCGTACTTTATTCGAGGGAGAAGAGGTACCGGGAATGTGCCCCCCGGAGCGTGTTGCGACTTCTGTTGTGGCACATTTGTGCGAATATTACGTGGCTTGGGCAGCGCACCCCGTTCCGAATACATGGAACCCTCAAACAAAAACACCCTCAAACCCTCTAACAACCTCTGCATTTTCCGCCGTGGTGACTGCACACTAAGCTTATTGGGCCACTTAAGATGTTTCATATCACGCTGGCTCCCGCGGCTTGGATTTTGGCTCCCCGCCAGAGCGTTGGGTCGCAGGCATTGGCGACATTGGCGTCTGGGTTCAATGAACTGAAGGAAAGCGCCTCCAATACATAACAGAAAAGCTCGGCATCTGAGGCGACATTGCAATGGTACATGTGATTGTTTTGGCTATAAAAACCTTTGAGAAAAGAGGGGCGCAAGCAGGTTTGACAATTTTCTAAGCATTGTGTCACATTCTCGCAAGAGGCTGTATTGCAATGTGGTCAAAGGCGGCTGCAGACGCCAGAGCTGCGCCCTGATTTGTGTAAATTTATACCAATTGGTGTTCAAATACGGTGCATACGGTGTAAATACATATGGTATTAAAATGCCAGCAGATCTGCTGTTTTAAGTTGTCAATCTCTTTTCGAAGGCTCTTTGCGGCACAAAATTTCAAGTTTTATATATATTTGGGAAAGTTGAGATAATGCTCAGTACATTGCATCATATTCTGGTACCATTGTTGAGGAAGGCCATGTGAGCACACGCCTTGCACCACTTCTGCCCGAAATTCGTGAACAGTCGAACGCGAATGTGGAAATCCATTTCTGTGAATATGGCTATAACAGTTGCGAGATTGCGCAGCAGTAACAAGCAGTACTTTTCTGTGCCCAGCTTCCCTCAAGGGTGCTGCGATGCAAGACTTGGCACTTCATAATACGTACTTGTAAAGCTTTTCCCCGAATGGTTGTAGCCTGCGGTGCCGCATGATCTGCAGTACTGACATGCAGTTCAGGATCCAGTCCATGTAATCGAAGTAGTTTTGCTGTAACTATTTCCACCGATGCTATGAAAGTATGAGTGAATGTGATGTTTTAATTGCTACGATAAAAAAATACGCAAGCTCTCTGCATACTTAATGAATGATACAATATGGTGCGGCGCTGTAGTTTTGGTTACATCTTTTTTCTCAATCGTGCCACGGAACGCGCCGGAGCAATCTTATTGCCAACCAAATATATTATTTTATAAATAATTTTGCCAAGTCTTTTTACCAACAGGGGACTCAAACAGCGCTTGCACAATTTCTGTTCCTACTGGAGGTTGGGCGAACATGATCAACACTACGACGAATCACAAGTGTTTGACGTGAAATTTACTTTATGGACAAAATTCAATCATACATTCGTGCGCCCTTATTTCAAATGCGGTCATTAGTATGACTGATAAAATTTCAGTGGTGACGATTATGTGAGTGTGGCATCGAGCCCAGCGCGGATGAGGTATCTTGTTGCAAGCAAGTTATTGTGTGCAAGACAATCCAAGGGATGTCGATTGTGGTGATGTGATTCTCGCCGCTGGGCCTTGAGATTCAACCTTCTACAACATTGGTTGATAATTTCCAAGGCAACAAATACTGGAAATAAATTAAATAACTAAAATATGTCGTGAAGGCTGTGGGCCATTCCTACTGAACGATGCTGCCAACGCTATAGTGTGGGTTAGGACTTCTCAGGTAACCGTGATGCCTTAACTTATAAGTTAAACTAGTCAACCCAAGTTAACCTAATTAGGTTGATTCAATTTCGAGACAGGGTAGATTGGTTTCGGGCACAGACCCTAGCCTCCACCCGCTGACTGCAGTACAATCCATCTGCTTTAGCCTGGGGCGTTGTTTTTCATGGCAGACTGGCCGATGTTGCATTTCCGGTAATGCAGCATTTGTCTGAATGGACAGAGCTGGCGTGCTGAATGCATGTTGCACGTCAGCTATGCCTCTTGAGATCTATACCTGCTATTGCTGACACGATCCAGAGACCCGTGCGGCGCCACAAAAGCGACCTTGTCTGTGTGTTGAACGCTCTCGCTCTGCAGTCGAGTTTGCTCCAAGCCTGCTGACATGAGGCAGTGGCACTTCGCAAGTTGCTCCTGCCTACCAGTAGAATACAGCCTGTTTGCGATGCCAATTGCGATGCCATTTGACGCAAGTTGATGCCATCACAGCCTCTTTTATGCCATGGCAATCACTGTGATGGCATCATTTTGTGTCAAAATGGCATCGCAGTTGGCATCGCCAACATGCCGTTTTCTCCCAGTGGCCGCTGCGATGACAGTTAGTCTGGATGACGCTGAAAAGGAAGGGACGCGTCAATAAGTACTGCAGAGTGGCTGTCTTCTACAACTCTCTTCCTAACAACAGGGCTGGGCGTTGATGAGACTGAGTGGTGTCCGACTTGCCAACAATCCCTTGCTCACAATATTTCCCACATATACGGGAAGACGGCGTAGTACAGACATATGCGGCATATGCGGCAAGTGCTTAACGGGCGCCACTCTGCCTGTACGATCCGTAACATTATCGAAAACCCTCATCCATCACTGCCTGCAAAAAAGCACAACACAAATCGCGCCCCCTCCCCACCACAAGAGAAGCTCTATATCGTCTTTGAACAGCATTGAAAAGAGACTCGCACGCATTTGCAAAGGTTTCTCTCTCTCAACCCCCAACCCACCCCACCCCCACACACATCTTCACTGCGCCCGCATATCCTCATAATATTCCGCGCAGGAGTGCCCAGCGCCATTGGCCTCAAGGGCCTGACCCGTTCTCCAGCGCCAGCGAACAGTCACGCCCCCAGCCCTCCACACACGCCCACACCTCACAACAGGTCAGCACAGCCCCCCTGCAGAGATGCCGGCTCGAGCGGCGCCTCGGCCGGCCTGAACTGGCCCCCTCGCCAGCAGCCCCACGCCTGCCGCCTTGCCATGGATCCCGCCCACGCCCCTCCCCTTCCCTGCGCGCCGATCAATCCGCCGGGGAAGATAATCGCGTGGGCATCGCGCGGGGCGGGAGGGCGATGGGAGCGGGCGATGGGCCTAGGGCAGCCGACGCTGCACCGCGCCAGGCACGGCGGATCATCGAGCGTGCCGCAGGGAGGGGCATTTCGGCCGATTAGCGGCGGAAGCCGAAGGCAGATGGTGGCCACGAGGGAGGTGGGCTGACGCCGTGACGCGCCGCCCTTGGCCAAAATCTTTGACGAAGTCGTTTATCCGAGTTTGTTCATCAGCTTCGCGATGTTTGGTTTGGCCTGCTGTGGGGCGACGGATATTGCCGAACCGCATCTCCCCAGCCACCAGTCCCGCCCCTTTCCCACCCCATTCCCACCCCCCAGTTAGTGGCCATTCATCATCCAACGCGTTGTCCTTGAATCACGGGATGATGTCGAGCCGCCCCCTCCTGGCGACTGTACGCGGTGCTGCGCGGCGTGGCACGTTGTCGCCCTGCGTTCAGAGAGTTGTGTGCGCCATTTTTCGACCCCGCAATGGACGCAACCCAATCACCCATTTCTCAGGAGGGGATGGGAGCACAGGGGCAGAGGGGGGGGGGAGGGGCCATGCCATTGCACCATTTTATGAGGAGGGATTCTTCGCAACAGAAGCCTCGTTGTCGGTCTTCCCTTGCTGCGGTCCGTTTCGCAACAGGGGGCCCCGCGTCACCACCCATCTTGTCTAGAGGGGGCGTGACCCTTGCGAGTCCATCATTTCATGAACAGCAGATCTGTGCACTCGACTCGACTCGTTGCCGCTCTTCCCTCCCTGCACTCCCACTCACAGCAGCATATGCCGTCCCACTACCCATCTTATGAGAGAGGGTGTCCATTGCGTGACGTGCGCACCATTTCATGAACAGCAAATCTTGGCATGTGACGAATCTTTGCTCCTAATGCCTCGTTGCTGCTCTTCCCTTGTTGCAGTCTACCTCCTCAGAGGCCATCGAGACCAGCCAGGATTCAAGCGATGCCGAAAGGCCTTCCAACGCCCCACAATCCGGCAGCACCCCCACGCCTTCCTTCACCCCTTCCTCCACCCCACCCACCCCTTCATCAACAAACTCCCAAGCCACATCCTCAACAAATTACTCACCATCGACAAAGTCGCAGCCAACGCCACCAGCAGACTCCCAAGCCCCATCATCAACAAACTCGCACGTCTCAGAATCGATCAGCAGCGCAGAAATCCCGAGGCGCAGCGCCAACGGGGCGACCTCTGGCCCGGTGACCTCCCCCCAGGCAGAGGTCATGGGAGGGCTGACCTTGGTGCCTCTAGGAGAGATTGGGGGCCAGGAGGATGTGGGCTGGGTGGTTGACCCATGCCAGACAGGGCAGCTGGAGGCATGCGCCGCCACGATGGAGGTGCCGGAGGGGGAGGGGGAGGATCAGAAGGCCGGCAGCCGGTGGGACTCGAAGAGATACTTCGGCATTCGGGTGGGGCTCTTTCTTTCTCTTTGTTTGCCTTTTTTCTTTGTGTTTTTTTTCCTTGAGTACTGGTGGGGTGGGGCTTGGATTGAATTTGGCTGATTTTAGTATCGAAGTGCTTGCGTTGTGCTTGAAGGACTGCTTGAGGTTTTGACACCCATTTGGGCAGAATGGGTGCCAGAACTGGTACTTTGTGGTGTGCTTGGTCGTGTACAAGGTTGGGTAGGTTTGAACTTAGTTGATTTGACATTGAAACTCACCATTCAACATTGTTGTCGTGATGCAATGGCCATCAACAATTCATTTGTTAACTGTAAGTATTGCTCAAGCATAATTCAGCACTGCAGTCTACTTGGAGCAGTCCAACAGGATCTCTGTGGGGTTTGAATTTACATTCCGCACACACCCCTCCAACAGCGTGGAGTCGTGTCAATGGTGCTTGTTTGTGGCTCACCTGTATCAAGATTGTCTTCTCAACAAAATGAGCTGAAACTCATCGCCGAGGCAACATGAAATAGAGAAGAAACTAATGCGAACAAGTGAGTAGCTGATACAATCTACTGGAACCCAAAAGTGTTGTATGTGCATTGGTTGCAGTTGTCAAAAGAGCCGATGAAACAGAACCCTTGCACCATTTTTGGGCGATGACAGGAACATAAGACCCAACCCATTTTGATCAGGGGGTTCGTGCGTTGTGTCACATTTCCCGTTGTTTTGTTGTTTCATGCCTTCTTTAACCCTGAAATTGCTACATCGTCTTTTTCAGTCCAGACAAGAATCCGAGATGGGCTGTGGCACAGAAATTGATGAGAGCTGAATGGCATTCATCCTTTGGATATGCAGCTTTCAATCCTGTGCACGAGATGTAACATGTTCGTTCGTGAATCAAGCAAAAGCACCTTTGTATGATGATGGGCACCTCTAAGACGCCTTTCAGGTTTGCTTTCACAGTGTTAATAGGTTTGCCCGAATGTGTACAATCGCTCAACAGGTGTAGGGGCAGTGATTTATCGTATTATTGTGTGTCTGTATTTACACAATTGTGTATTGATACTATGTTTGATGAATGCGAAGCTGATTTTTGCTTGACTTGTTTTCTTCTTCGGATTGCATCTTAGTGGGGGTTTGGGCATCTAACTTCACATTGATGTCAGAATCGACAGATATCTGTCTATGATGTGTGCCATGTTTCAATGCTCATGTTATTGAAACACGAAATACTGTCCTTTTCGGATCTCCCGTGCAGAGGACATTCGAGATCTGGAGCTTTGCCTTCGCCTTCTTCCTGAAGTACAAATGGGTGAACCAAAGGGCAGCCTACCCTGGTGGGGCCATGACGCCTGAGGCAGTGTCCCAAAAGAAGTCCGAACTGGCGGTGTGGCTGCGGGAGGGCCTGTGCCGCCTGGGCCCCACCTTCATCAAAGTCGGGCAGCAGTTCTCGACCCGCGTCGATGTGCTCTCGCCGGAGTTCATCCGCGAGCTTGCCAAGCTCCAAGATGATGTGCCGCCCTTCCCGACGGACAAGGCGATCGAAATCATGGAAACCAGCTGGGGGAGGAAGGTGTCAGATGTGTTTGACGAGTTCAACAGAAAGCCGCTTGCAGCAGCAAGCCTGGGCCAGGTGAGTTTTGGCAGGAGAGCGGGTCGCTGCGATGCATTGAGTTTCCGCGAGCCTTATCCCCAACCTGCAAGGGCACCTCACCAGACAAATTAGTGCGCACCAGGCGCACAAGAACGTGACAAGAACATGACAAGAAGATGAATAGTTGCATGCCAGAAGATAGGAACTCGACCAAAGGCAATCTGGCCTGAGCTGATGTGTGTGAGGTGTTGTTCCATGCTGTGGAAAGATTGATGTAGAGTTTCCCTATGTGGGAAGGTGAGCATGCAACACCAGCAACCTGAAGAGCAGGGAAACACACACTCAGGGGGGAACTCAGCTGGCGTGCGTAAATGTGAATGTGAAAGCATCCTTGACAAGAACACAGCTCATCCAGTATGTGTCCTTCCTAGCATGGAACTACAACAAGGTTATGTTGAAGTGCCACCTGGTATTGATCTGGTGTGTATGTGCATGTGTATTGTTTTTTTGTGACGTATCATGTATGTATCATTCTGGAATAGAAAAGCTTAGTAGGCTTGTGTTCCCCTCACATTCCCTTGCATTTGCATCAGGTGCACCTGGCCAAGTTGAATGGCCAGACAGTGGTAGTGAAGGTGCAACGGCCAGGGCTGAGAGAGCTGTTTGAGATCGACCTGAAGAACGTCTTGGCGCTGGCTAAGATCATGAAGAGGCTGGACAGCAGGGCAGATGGGGCTGCCAGGGATTGGGTGGCGATCTACGAGGAGTGTGCCAGGATATTGTACGAGGAGATCGATTATGTGCTGGAGGGCCACAACGCGGAGAAGTTTCAGGCGAATTTTGCGGGCGTTGACTGGGTCAAGGTGGGCGACCGTTGTATGTTGTCACAAGAATATGTCATAATGCAGTGGCCGTCGTTGCCTGTTAAGCCTCTGATCATGTTTGGGAGATCTTGTGTGCCCCCTGCCCACTGGTTCAACGGCACCAGATATTGCCGATTTGTGAGACGGTGTGTGGCTGTGTTGCACTTGGTGGCATTTTCCTAATCCTAACACTGCGTCGAGATCAAGAATCAAGCAACTGGAAGCTTGGTCTCTTGTTGCTGATCAGGTTACCTGCAGAATCTACAGGTGACGCTCTTTTGGGCACAGCTTGTGCAGAACTCAGTACTGAGTGTTGGATCCAGTGCTGTTTCAGGCTAAATCAGCACAGGGCCAAAGTACTGAATACATGATATCTGCACGCCATGCAGTGATGCTTCAACTGCATCCACAAACCAAGATTCTTGTGTACTGTATGGGACTACCATTCACCAGTATCCTCCTGACCTCAGAGGAAAGGCAAAACATGTTACAGAAAAGAGAAACGAATTCAACAATGATATTAAAGGAAGTGAGAAGCCGCCGTGCTGAAAGGCCACCACAATAGGCTGGAACTGCTGGCTGAAAATTTGGCTGGTTGCTCTTCTTAATGGCAATTAAAGAGTTTGTTTTGTCCCACTGGTGGACAAATGGCCACAAAATGCATTGTATTGGCCATGCTGGTGCTGCTTGTGCTCAGTTTATGCCATTAGTACTGATATGGAAGTGGCAGAACTATGACAGGGACAGAGCAAAATCTGCAATACTGTTCAGTTTAGCAAAATCGCTATACTGCATCTGGCGACACGGGCACTCACTAAGGACAACCAGCGACCGTGTGCAACACACAATTGGTGCCCAGTCTCCCACTCCCCGCTCTGTGTCCCTGCGTGCAAGCTTGCACCTGTTGACACGGCCAGATTGCTGGCCAAATGTGTCATTGTTAGTGCTGGCACAGTGAGGAAAGTTGCGCATCTACCTGCAGGGGCGCTTTCAGATAATATTTTCTGAAAATTCAAACCTGCGGTTGCTGCGATCAAGTTTGCCTGCACGGGTAGAGATTAATTACAAAGAGAGAAAGAAACTGGTCATGCACATGGCACCCCTCCTAAGAAAGTGTATGTGGGACTCTTTTCCATGCTGCGAAAAGATGATATAGAGCCTCCGTTGCGAAATGATGAGCACACAATGGAAGCAACACAAAGGCAGGAAAACTGTGTGCACAGGGTGGTCAGGACCTTGCATCCGAAGGCTCGGGTCAGGGTCTGACCAAGGTGATGCACAATGGGAATTTGGAAGGAAAGGAGGGGCAGTGTGAAAGACATCCCATTGGCCCGTTGTCCCTTTCTGCTTATTCTCCATTTTGAAGAATCTATTGGCAGGGCTGTAGCCATGCAGATGGACAACCTACATGTCAACTGAATTTGTTTCCCATCTTTGATTTTGAACTTGGCACTGAAAAGATTTCAGCAACAAGCAGGAAATGCAAGGCAATGTTCCAAATGAAGATATGAGAGAAACGGGAAAATGGTTGAAAGACTGAGCACTAAGTTATGTTTTGTCATACCCATTTTCCCCAAAGGGTGTTCAAACTATCTTACTAAATAAGCAAATACAAAGGTAACGAGAACCTCGAAATATGAATTACTGATGTAATAATGATGAGTAGTAATAACAGAGCTGATGCCAAACCACGAAGAGCGGAACCAAGGTTGTGATCGCGATTCCCTTGTCCACAGGTGCCAAAGATCTACTGGAAGCACACCACCAACCAGGTGCTCGTCATGGAGTATGTCCCAGGCACCAAAATCAACAACGCCCCCCAAATCGACACCCTCGGCCTCGACCGCCGAAAGCTGGCACGCCTGACGGTCGAGTCCTACCTGCAACAGATCCTGCGCCACGGCTTCTTCCATGCCGACCCACATCCAGGCAATGTGGCCTGTGACACGGAGAATGGGGGCCGGCTGATCTACTACGATTTTGGGATGATGGGGTCGATACCTGGGGATGTGAGACGGGGATTGTTCGACCTGTTTTATGGGGTGTATCAGAAGGACGTGGACAAATGCATTGAGGCGATTGTGGCGATGGGAGTGCTGGTGCCTGGGGGGGATATGACAGCGGTCAGGAGGACGGGCAAGTACTTCTTGCAACAGTTTGAGGTGCGTTGTTATTGCAGTTGTTACACTGTATTATACTGTATCACACTGTGTTATGCTGTTATTATTACTGTGCTGCCTTGTTGTTGTGCTGCATTTTTTTTCCAAACTCTGATGGGAATGGTGTGTTTTGTGGCCAGGTATTTGCACAGTCAAGTATGTTGATGTGGTCAAACATGTTGAGTGCATTTGTTGAAAACGCACAAGAAATGCTACCCTCGCACCCTGAGAGGCGATGTTGAAATTGCTCCACAGTCTTTACCACGGTGTGGGGTGTTTGTTCCAAATTTGACATCAAATTCAAGTGTTGTGTAGTGTATGGCTGCACAGATGCATGCGCAGTGTGAATATTGAAATCAGTGAAGTATGGGGCCATGAATTTGCAGCATGTGGTCATGTTTGTTCACGCAAAAGTCTTATGGGGACAGTACGATGCACATGGACAGTCACAAGCATGCACATGAATGTCATTTGTCACCTGTGTGGCTCGGGCTGAGGAACTGGAAGTTGATGTTTCCAGAATTTGGAAAGTGAGGCTACAGTTTCAGCCAAAACTGGAGCAGATCTACATGCATTTTTGCACAACTCATTACAAGCCATATTGCTTCTCACATACCTTTTTAATACTTGGCTGTGTCACCATTTTCCCAATTGTATGCTTCTTATGCACTTTCTTGATTCCTGCCCAGGAGCGACTGGAATCGCAGAGGAAGGCCAGGCAGGACCTGGGCGACAAGTATGCCTCCACCTACAAAACGCCATTGACCAAAAACGAACAGAAGCAGGTCCAGAAGAAGATCCTGGCCAACATCGGCGAAGATCTGCTGATCACCGCCGCCGATCAGCCCTTCCGCTTCCCTGCGGAGTTCACCTTCGTGGTAAGGTCCTTCTCAGTGTTGGATGGCATCGGCAAGTCCTTGGACTCGAGGTTTGACATCTCGGAGATCGCGGCGCCGTACGCGCGGGAGTTCGTGCTCGAAGCACGGCCGCAGGTCGAGAGGCTACAGGAGGACTTGAAGAAGCGGGCGAGCCTCCAGGTGTATGCAGGTTCTGACGAGCTTGCCTTATGTGGAAAGAAAGCGAGTAGTGGAGGCAAGAGTGCTTGTTTCGTGATGATGTTTGAAAGCAGATGCGATGCGTTTTAGACCCAGCGACCGGAGCATCCCGCCGACCCCGGACCAGATTGTTGAGCGGCTGGAGAGTGGGGACACCAAGCTGCGTGCACGAGCGTTGGAGGCCGAGCGGGCGCTCGCACGCGTCGAGATCTGGCAGGCCATCATGATTTCGGGCCTCGTGGCATCGATGCTCATCAATGCCGGGACGGCACTGTCGCTGCACGGGGCACGAGCGGTGTCGACGGTGATCTTCCTGGGTGCCGCGGCATTTGGGTGCTCGGCACTCGCGAACGTGCTCAAGGTGCGGCATGGGGCTTCCAGGCGCATGGCGTGGAAATGACCATTCCCTAAATTCCATTATGCCCATCGAGAGCTATGCCCATTGTTGTATACTCAATACTCCACTATGCCCAGTCAGTACATTCCATGTATTATGTTATACAACATTTCCACATAGCACAATGGCATGGAAGTGTTATGTTGAATTGCAGGTCATGCCGTGTCTTTGGAAGCTAGGGGTATGTAAGTTCAGTACTTTACAGTATTTGCTTGTGCCGCTTTTCCTGAAAAAGGGCGCAAGTGGGCCATCCCATGCAGTATCAGATGTTCAGCGAACCGGGATGCATTGGGTCCGCAGCCTGCGCAGCCCATTGATTACTTAATTGACTAGTTAGGTAATCAAAAATGATTGAAATAACTAACTTCTTGGTTGGTGAATCAATCACTTCATTATATTGGCCCAATTCACGCAGTTTCAGGCCATTTTGAGACAGTACTAAATCGCTGACAATTGCACATTAATGGCGCAAACTCTGCTCCCACGGGAAGACATTGCACGGTTCCAACAATCTCTTTAGCACCATGTTGCATGGTTGGAAATCATTTTGGTGCGCTTGTTTGTCATCAAAGTACACTTGTGTGACAGTGTTTTCCAACGATTCTGGCCTTATCTCAGTTCAACGGAGGCTACAACAGTTGATATACAATCCTTCCAACGGATTTACAAACATGTCCACATTGCCAGTGTCTTCTCCAACAAACCTTCAAGGATTCGGCGATGGTACAGACATATCAAGCCAGTCTACCGATAAGAACGATTCCTGTCGTCCATACAACCTATCTCCTCGAGGACATTTGTCCTGCGATTTCGTTGTGGGGTACACTTCCTGGAAGTTGAGCAACAACGACACCAAGTGCGACAATCTATTCCAGAATTCTCACGGCGACTGTGTCCTTAATGTCACTTGGCTCCAGAGGACGAAATGCATTTCTTCCTCCACTGCCAGGCCTATGATGACATCCCTTTAAGCCACTCTTGTATTTTTTGATGCCGCAATGCAAAAACGCTTTTTGCTTCGGTTCCTGCTTGCGGACTGGCAATGACACTTCTCTTGATGTATTATCATCGACAATCACTTCTAGGCTTTAGGAGGTAATAGACCCATAGCTTTTGTCTGTGTTTACCATTAGATTTCAACGAACTGATCACGAACTCTGCTTTGCTCGGGCAAAATTGGAAGCTGACGGCTACCTCATTGCCCTGTTTTGTAAAAAATGATGATGATGATGATGATGACAGTGTTTTCGATGTAGACATCGAAAACAAATAACACTTTACGCTCACACTTTTACACACAAGTACACTTTTACATCGCAGTACAACTAAAAACGAGCTTTCTAGTGAAGGGTGTGTTGTGTGCATGCATGCAGCTGAGGAAAGAAAAGAAGAAGGAAGAGGCGATCACAGGCATCGGCGCCAAAGTAGTGGAAATATGATTGGCCATGCGACGTGGGTGACGTCACCAGTCAATCCGACCCCAGTGACTTACATGGCCCTTGGCTGAATTGTTGGCCGTTTCGTTGACCAACTCTTCGCAGGCTTAGTCATCGTCATCATCATTCATTTTTGCATGACAAGGCTTAGTCACGCTGACGTCCCCCATAGAACAAACCGCTGGGCAAGCACTGTGCCGCCGTCTGCATTCCTAAATTGGTCTGAGATAGCTGGTGGGAGTCCTTAAGACCATCAGCGCAAAGGTGCCCAAAAGCACGTTGCAGTGCATTGCGGGACATTGCAGGAGTTGCCAGAATCTGGCAGTGGTCGTTTCTGTTTTGAATGTGGAGGAGCTCAGTTTCCCACCCCGCTCGTTGGGCGTGATGGACCCCGTGCCCCAAATCTCAAGTTGACTGGGGCTAGTCATGGCCCCTGACAGTCCTCTGAGGTGGTCGCCTGACGTCATTGGCATTGAGTGAGGCGAATTTGCTGATGTCATTTCCCGAAGCTTCCCCAGCGACCTGCTGTGTAGGAAATTGTGCCAGAAATGAGGACCCAAAAGTGACGTAGAATTGGAGGGGCTTGCTGAGAATGACGTAAAATGCTCCATCGCACGGATCGACGATTCGAAATTCCATTCTTAATTCGATTCAATTCAATTTTGAATCGACGCTGGCGAGCTGTGCAGCTGATACCTTTCCCAGTTTCCTGGGGCTTTATCTGGGGACGTATCTCAGAGCGATGGTGGCCAACTTGCGAGTGGCTGTGCATGCAATGCATAAAGTACTGCAGTACTGATGTGTGTTGTGTGATGAAGTGCATCGGCTTGTCAGCCCCCTGTACGGTGGGTGCTAGCGGATGTGTTTGCAGAAGTGGCTAGCGGTAGACTGGTAGGCTGATTTGAACCAACGGTGAGTCAGTGGTGGGTCAGCAAAATTGACGGTGAGTCAGCACTTGATGGGGCAGCGGTGGTCGGCTTTTGACGTTTTGAGGAACGATTGACTGGGATTGAGCCTGGAGGGGTGCGGGGCGAGGCCCCTTGTTGCTTCGATTTTTTTGTTCACATCGACATTTTTTTTGGTCCGGTTTTGCAATTCGGGCCGGTTCGACGAGAAGATTTAATCTGCAACGCCATTTTGGATGGCCCAACATTGGCTCGTCTGCAGCAGGGTAATTGGTGTAATCAACATGATGGTCGTGTTCGGGGCGCCACTTTATGAGGTAGTAATAAGACTCAAAGAACACAATCGTTGGGTTAGTAAACGTGGTGAAAAGGCGCCCCGTATGACAAGTATCGAATGCCGCACTCACAAGAGTCGTCATAAAGACCAAACCAAGATATTTTGGGACGTCAATGATGGACCAAGGAAGCTTTAGGAGTGGCACATCAACGATCTGCAGTCACACCAACAATCGCGCTCAATGTGCATACGGAAATGCCACGAATCAACACACCCACATTATCACGACGCGAGTCAGAACCTGTCTGATTGCACGGAGTATGACAAATCCACGTCACCCCCTCCGCTCAGACCCGCACGAGCTGGGAAACTGTGCGAATGCACTCCAACCGAGTCTAGGGCCACAGTACTGTTGGCAGAGCATTTCCGTGCCGATGCATCGGGGCAAAATGCAACCATCCAACTGCATTGACCACCCATGACCGATGGGTCGCCCGGGGCTCCCATAGGTGGAGGCCGTGATTCCGATTCCAGAAGCCTACAAGGAAAGTGACCTCGCAGGACAGTAGAGGGGCTGAAATACCACCATTTTGCCAGAAGAGAATAGGGGAGGGTGGTGAGGATTGTGAGAGTGCCATTCAAGTCGTCATTAGGGGCGACATGCGGCATCATGTGGTGTGCATCGGCTTCCGTGGGGATGTGTAGGTGCGCTGCCTACGATGGAGCACATCTGTCACCTCAGCGCCCTATATCAGGTCTCTGAGATGCACTGTGGGACATTGGGAACCTGCTGGGAGTGCGGAATACGGTGGGAAAACGGCCAGACCTATAGGGCGTTTGCATAGATCGCTCGATGCTTGAATGTTGATCAGCTTAGAGACACCAAGGTATCAGTGTGATCAGCTGACAAATTGCTATACGTCTAACGTTTCCCCAGATAAATTGGAACTTTCTCCAAGATGTTTGCAACAAATCTCAGCTCAATCAGGGCCCTAGGGGCCAAGATAGAGTAGTTGTGGTCAATTTCTCCGAGCTACGAGGAAGCCATTGAGACAACTCGATAGAACCTTGGACGGGAGACTAATTCTATCATGTAATGGGATTAGTCTATTAACGGCTGGTCAAATTTGATGCGATTCGTCCCATTGACGAGGAAGTTGTGAGGATTGGGGGGATTCCAAGGGCTGGGTGCATACAGAACATGTCCCACTCTCATGGGCGATCGGAGCACGTGCAAATCGAGCTGGGGGGACACACGCAGCCTTTGCTAACCTCAAGATGTCGACGGTGGACAACTCGGGAGCCTCCTTGGCCAGCAATATAGCTGCTAGAAGGAACTGCAAAGGCCTGCCTGGGTTTGAAGACCTCAATACCAAGATCGCTAACTTGAGGACCATCATGATGCACAGAAAACATCTCATGGGCGGAGATGAGTATGCCATGAAGCAAGGGGTGAAAATCTGGGACGAAGTGTGGGTTGCTGCCAAGCGCATGCGTGATGCATGCTTGACTGAATGGGCGAAAGCTGAGGCGAGGGGCGATGCCATTTAGGTTGCGGCTAAGTCTCTCAAGAGGCGATTGAGGCAACCGTTTGTAGGGATGGAAGACATTGAGGATGATGATATTGAGCTAGCTGCAAATCAAGCCAAGGACATGGTTGCAGAGTTGCTAGAGTCTGTTGTGGAGGGTTTTGAAGCCCCTTGATGCAATCCGCAATGGATTTTGCCACACAGAATCCATCAGTACTGGAACGAGCAATGGTGTTGGCTCGTGAGAAGAGGCGCAAGCTTGAAGATGAAGTCACCAGGGAGCATTTTTTCCATGGAAAGGATGCATGTATTAGGGACTAATTGGACAAGTTCATCCCTTTGAATGCAGTCAGCAAGAGGCTCAAGCGATTGGAAGAACTTGATGTCAACTGTGAGAGCAAAGAGGATGGTGTGGAAGTCATTCAAGCTCAAGAGGACCATTTTTAGTGGGCGCTGGTGGTCGAGAAGTGGGAACATGAGGACGCAACAAGATTCACTATGCGCAATTGGCTTCAAGGTGGTTTTGAGCTGCGAGTGGACGAAAGCATGCCCCCTCTGGAGATGCCTTGAGGTGTGCAAAGGCTGATGCTATGGGGTTGTGGCTGGTGATAGGGCTGCATGACGTTGTGACATTTTTGAGTCGCAGGTGTATTTGTAAGGGTTCATTGGATAACGATATGATAGTAGCATAACATAAGCTGAGCGACGGAACATGAAGAAACATCGTCAGTCCAGGATATACTAAGAGAATTACAACATGATGATTGAAAAGGCAGTTTAAAGAATCATTGGACTCTGATTCTGGGTCATTTAAAATGGTTTGGTTGCGGTGCTGCTGTGGAATTGTGCATTGTGTCGTGTGGAGCTGCAGCATTGGTCGAATCGCTTGAGAAACAGTGCCATGGAGCACAACTTAGCCAGAAGAAGTGTGGCAAGATGCCAGAACGGGCGCGAGCTATGAAGCTTTGAAATTGTAAACCATGCATATAGAGAGGTAGATTTGGCTGCACGGATTTGGTTGAGTGCCATGAGTTTCAATCGCATGGTGACAATGGGCGATCGCACCTTGTGCAAGGATTCAGCTTTGGAATGGCTGGAATCTGTTTGCAAGTCGATCTACAATGAATGGGGCTGTTTGGAGCAGCTTACCGACATGGTCTTGAAACTAGTGCATGCATCGATTGATGAACTCTGTAAGATCAGCCCATTGGGGCTGGATCAGAATGTAGATTCTGGCCATGCCAGGCCATGCCATCAGAATATGATCAAGTGTGCGAGGGACAACCTGGGACGAGCGGACGAAGCTGCCTACATCTCCCTATCAAGAAGTTCCACTCATGTTGACACCCCTTTTGAGCGGACAATGAGGCTGCTGGAACAGGCCAGAAATATGGCAGAGCGCAGATAGTCCTCTGCCTTCAATGAAGCTGTCTTACATGGAGAAAACGGGGATGACATCAGCAAAGAGGAGTGTGATAGATGGGCAATCAGGCGGGGGGAGCTGATGAGCCTGAACAACCCCGCTGAAGCGTGGATGCAGGTGCCGTGGGCGGAATGTCATCAGTGTGTGGAAGCTTGGCGAAAAGAGGAATTTTGGGTCAGGAAACAGACGCTTGATGAAAGGGCAGCTGCCCTCACCTGAGAATGGATAAGGGGAGGACCTTCCCTAAAGATTCCAAAAGGCTTGAGGTCGCCCAAGCTTGAAGTACAGCCTGCCAACCAAATGCTCCATCCGTACACATCACCGTGGATGGACATCTTCAAAGAAGGTGAGTTACCAAATTCTGTGGCAAATGGGGAGAATTAGGTTGCTCAAAAATGCAGCCTGGAGTTCGTTCTAATTCCCAATAGCAGTAGGTACAATGATTCTGGAAGGATCAGTGATCTCCTGGGACGATCCATGCAATTGGAACTCAGTAACATTCAAAGTGATGGGCAGAAAATGGAAGCAATCTAAAAAGATGTCTTTAAGCTTCGTGTGAGTGCAAATTGATACTAAATTTTGTTGATGGTGGATGCATTTTTTTGATTATTGGTAGTACAACCGACCTTATGGGAGGCTGTGGGTATGCGCCGGCTTGAGAGGGCTGAGATAAGGATGATTTAAGTGGTATCAAATGGATATGAGCGTTGTGAACAATCAGGCAGTAATTGCGCTGGATATGGAAAGTTGATAGATGATGATCTACAAATCTGGGATGTAATGCATTACAAGAGTGCATTGGCGATAGCCTGGAAACACGTATGATAGATGTGTGAAAAATTTGGAGTGACATGGAGTGATCTGGTGGG